ACATACATGCAAATGTCTACAGTTTGCAATGTGCTGAGCACCCCCTTCCCCCCCCCCCCAAATGTTGTTTTTTGTGTGTCGACGCCCTTTCAACCGGTTATCTTTCGCCAGCTCGTCTCCGTCCTGTCTCTACGCCATATATATAAAACAGCCTACTTATTTACATAAGAGGAAAAATACAGATCTCTGTTGCCCGTCTTGGATGTTATGGGCTATTTGCTTCTAGCCCCGTATCGTTAATAGACCAATCAGCGCTCGAAGGATGCTTTCTTTATTTACATCCTACATCTTAATGTCTGTTGGCTTCATCGACCTCGAAATATCTCTGATCGTTCTTTCTCCGATCTCTCGGGCGGCCTCAGCCTGCACTTCCCCGTGTGGCTGTGTTTTAAGGCTGCTCGGGGGAGATTCGGATCGGTCCATTGTCCGTCTCGTGACCGGAACCATCTCGTTTAGCGTGTTATGAATAAACATGTTGGAGAAATCCCGGACTTGGGGGGAGCTCAGACAAGACAGATTCTTAGTTTGTCCATTATCTGGCAGCAATCACCCCCTTTTTTTTTTTCTCCTTACCAGATTACGCCCTCCCGTCTACCTGCCTCCCCCGCCCTCCATCTGTCTTGACCTTCTTCGTTGTCGCTCCCCTTCCACCATCTTACCCGTCTTTCCCTCTAATATCTCTCTCTCCGTCCACTACCTCCACTCTCTGGCTGCATCGCACCGTATTTATCCGTTATTCCCCGCTCTCCCTATTCCCATACGCTTCTCCATATACCTTTCTCTCAATCTTTCAAACTCTCTCCCCCTTCATCCTCCCGCTGTATCCCCCCCTCCCGTCTCTCTGTCTGTCGCCCTCCCTCCTCGCCCAGACTCCTCCACGCCTCTCTTACTTACCTTGTCTAATCCTGTCATTACTTTCTCACCCAGTCTTACCGGCCGCTATCTGCGTGCACTTGGGGAAACACCTTTTACAGCGATCATCTGTGATATTTCTAGATTTTTTTCTCAGGGGCTAGCCAGCCTGCACATTGGGGAAGGGGGGATTTTATAAATCTCTCTCTCTCTCTCTCTCTCTCTCTCTCTCTCTCTCTCTCTCTCTCTCTCTCTCTCTCTCCCTCTCACACACACAACACACAAACACGACTAAAAAAGGGCCAGATGCAACTACTTTAAAAAAATTGTATAAATACTGGAATGAACATAATTGTGTCCTAATTTTGACATTCAAAATCTTTGTAATTTTATGATAAAAATTGTTCAAATTGCAGGCAAAAATACCTCAGGGGTTCAATCAGTTAGTCGACTGTTCTTTTGCATGTCCTTGATAGTTTTTAGGCTTACGGGCTTTCCCATCAGCTAATAAAAACACGCCATAGCACAGCTATCCATTTCTTTTTTGAACAGATGTCGAGCAAACGAAAATAGACACAGTGAGCTTCACATTATCACGAAATAATTGTGGTTGGGGAACAGTATCCAGTTGATGCTACTTGTATGACTGCTGCTGCTTGTATGACTGCTGCTACTTGTATGTCTGCTGCTACTTGTATGTCTGCTGCTACTTATATGACTGCTGCTACTTTTATTGCTGCTGCTACTACCACTATTACTGCAGCCATTGATAATGTATTAGCTGCTACTGTTGCTGCTGTTACTACTGCTTCGTTGTCTACCGTCTGTCAGATCGCTAGTCTGTAAAATTATACAAGTGAATGTATTAATAATTGTAAGTTTTCCCAAACGAAGTCGATGAAAGTTATCTACTCAAAGTTTATTGCTAGGAAACATCCCCTGTGTACCGTCGCCAAGCGGCGAATCCTCTGTTCAGAGGCCATCATTAAGTTCAGGGAAATGTGAAAAACAAGGTCCACAGATAATTTTCAACAGCCGGCGCTTGCCTCTCTGTGGAACCGCCTTTGGTAGTTCTTACGGTAATTGAGTTACCAAAAGCTCCCTGGTCGTTGTACCATCTAAATCTCAGCCTTGGTGCTTCTTTTAATCTGTGCTGTATGGCGTTGGTAGTCACGTCAGTACACAATCTTATCTCATGTTCTTTCGGTCAGTTCTGACACAGATCTTCCATGGTGTGCTGTCAAACTGCCCAGCATCTTCTCTCCCTGTCTCACTCTGTCTCTCTTCCCCTCCTTCTTTCCCACTGTCACGAAATACTCTAGTTTTCTCCTTCTAATGAAATGACAAAGAATGTAGAATGTCTCCTCCTGATGTGAGCAGGCAGTACTCTTTATGTGTCAGTTTCATATCTGTCCAGCCTGTTCTTATTAAATTCTTCTTCGCGTTCACCTGCTGTAGCTCTGGCGGAAAGTTCTGGTTGTTCGTCCACTTTTGGACTCTAGCCCTGCTCCAGAAAATAAGTGTTTGGTACACATCCGTTTTACAGATCTAACTTTTTTGTTGCAGACTGTTGGTTCCTTGCCTCTCAGGCAGATGCACTCCTATTTCGAAAAAAAAGCCTATAATTAATCGACTCCTACGACATGCTTGTTGGGTAGGCAGTGTGTCTGTTGTTGTTTTCCCCACAATAGGGGCTCTGAACCCCTGGTTTTGTGTTGACTTCGACAAATGGTATAGAGGGCTTACTGCCCACTGGCAAACAGCCGAACGTGAAATTACCTAACACAGCCACACACAATGCTGTTGTTGGTTCGGCAAAGTTCTGTGAAGGATACGCAACTAACTTTTTAGTATAAAAGAAAATATGTCACCTACACCCATTCAGTACCCAGGAACAAGGTAATAATGAGTGCCACTACAAGTACAAAAGCCTAACAACGTGCCAAATAACTATGTCCAATTTCGGCAAAAATCGACCGTATCTACAATTGGACTCAAGACAATGCTCTTCACTTACCCCACGTGATAATACTATAACAGGAAACACACATCTTCTTGTTCCTTTACTGTTGGGTTGTTTTCTTTATTGTGTTTCCTTTCGCCTATTCCTGGCACAAATAATTTCTTGTTTGTAATTTTGGCAAGAAAAATCAAATTATCAGCAACATCAGGGATGGTTAGTGAGATTGTAAAATTCGATGACCACGAACAAAGCATGAAGTGTTCTACGCCGCGGTGATTTCCGCTGATTACAAAGTTGAAATGTGGCATTTCCGATTGCTGGCTGTTTCAGATGGGGAAGTTACAGTGTAGACATGGGATCTGAAACTGGGAGATATGATACTAGTGAAGCCGCAGTTCCAGGGTGGGATTGGAAGATTCACTTAAGGATCTAGAATCATCCAAACATTAACAAAATAAAGTGGTATTAATTAAGGTTGGCTGCAGAGGCGCTCCAACACTCACCCTATCTCGTCTTGGTTGTAGACACGGGTGTTGCTGTTGGTCCATCTATTGATGCCATCAGCCCACTTGTATTGATGTTTTTGTGTTTTTTACAAAATGTTATTTTATATTTAAAATGCAATAGTTTTGTTTCCTGGTCTGCGATCTAAAGGTTTTTCACTACGGTGATCATAAAAGCAACACTTTTGATGTCAATCCAGGATCAGCACATCCCCGATACCCTCTTCAATCTAAAGATTGTATAGAGTAGTATGCGAAAACAGCGGCCAGTTAAAAGAAACCTGCCAGCACACGAGATGGTATGTGCTCTTAGAAATGACAAGGATGATCGCCAACCACAGTTTCATGACTGTAGGATCATCCAGTGTCTAAAACATGCGGCTGCGCCCAGCGAATCTCAGTTTAGAACTGAATGTTAGTTTCACACTCTGGGTGCTGCCTAAAGGTTTGACACCCTTACGACTCAAATAATCGCATTCTGGATAGCAAACCAACAAGACAAGTCCCAGTCGCTCACTTTCAGCCTTCGGAGACTTCATAATTAGGACCTCCCTTGGCTGCACCAAGATGGAATGAATTTCGACAATGACCCTAAAGATAGGACTCAGGATAAATACCGATGGAGAGCAGACGAAAGAATTAGACGTTGACGACCTACGAAAACCAGGATAAGAACAGTAGAAGGGGAAGTGAACGAATGTAAAATAACATGGGATGCCACAAGCAGAAAAGCAGCAGATGAAAGGAGGAGATGTATGCGACCTAAGGAAATCTGGAGAAGGAAAGTAGATGGAAGTGATAGAATGCAAAATAACACGGGATGCCATAAGCAGAAAAGCACCATCGGAGATCACTTGTCTAATCTGCCTAATCTGTCCACAGCGACATGAAGTACCCTGCTGCCTTGCACAGGCGAGAGTGCTGGATTGACCATTTTAGGGACCGCTGGCTGCATTCATTGCGTCTGCTGGTTTGTGATGATTTGTGAATACACCAGCGTGATTAGGTGGAACGCCTTAATTGCCGTTTGTTGTCGGTTCTGCTGGTGATTAAGCGAAAGGTGTTGCGGGGTAGCCAAGCGCTGTAGCTGTAAGCTTTCGTTTGGCTGTGCTTGTTTTCTCCTGGTTTGTTAGTTGTCGTCTTGTGAGTCATTTCGGCAATGAAATAATTGATTTCAGCAAAGCACTTGTTGATCAGGAAACCGCTGTGGCATAGCGGCTAGACGCTTGCCTGCGGTTCCGAAGGTTTTGGGTTTGAATCTTAATTGAGTTAGAGTTTCCTGCTATAAGTTTTGCTTATCTTCTCTCTTTCACCGTTCCCTTCTCTGTAACTTTCACTATCCTTCTGCTTGTTTTCCGTCTTTGTGGAAAGCCACCTCGCTGTTTCTGCCATTCTCCTTGCTGTTGACTTTCTTCTTTTTGCTGCTCTTATTGTTGTTCATCTTGCTGCTGCTGTTTTTGTTTTCTTTCTTTCTGTCTTTTTTTCTCTCTTTCTTCTTCTTCTTCTTCTTCTTCTTCTTCTTCTTCTTCTTCTTCTTCTTCTTCTTCTTCTTCTTCTTCTTCTTCTTCTTCTTCTTCTTCTTCTTCTTCTTCTTCTTGCTGTTTTCTTTGCGTCATTGTTCTTCTTCTTGATGTTGTTAATAATCCTTCACCCCTTCTTTCTTTATCTTCTTCTCCTGCCAGTTCTCATGTTCCATTAGTCCACCGTCCATCTGTGGGCTGCCTGACAGTACACAGCTCCATCTTACCATTGGGCTGCTGCTGTAACTACCTCCTTGAGTGCCATATGTTCTCAGTTTCACAGCTGGGAACTGCCTTCAGCTTTATGGGTTCCGGTAAGGAGTCTTCTCCCCTCCTGTCTGTTGTGTGCCAGCCAGCCTCTGTGTGTGTGGGTATGTGTGCCTACCATCCTCTGTGTGTGTGTGTGGGTGTCTGCGTGCGTGCGTGTGTGTGCCTATCAGCCTCTCTCTCTCTCTCTCTCTCTCTCTCTCTCTGTGTGTGTATGGGTGTCTGTGTGCGTGTGTGGGTGTCTGTGTGCGTGCGTGTGTGTTCCTGTCAACCCGTGTGTGTGGATGTCTGTGTGCGTGCGTATGTGTGTGTGTGTACCTTCCAGCTAGCCTCTGTGTGTGTGGGTATGTGCTTGCTTAGTTCTCTCCCTAAGTTCTACATTAGTGATTCTATCATACCATTTAATTCTATCTATTCTGTGCAGGAACCAGTTAATGAATGTCTGTAGTAAAGTAAAGTATAATCTGGGAGGAAATTGAAAGAAAAAAAAATACATCTAGATGCGATTAGATGTGCTCCAGCCTCCTGCTTTTATAAGAAGTAAAAAATAACATACATTTTCTCTCGTTTTTGTGTGTGCTCGTCTCGTCTGGTCTTCGCCCTCCTCTCCCACACAAATCATGCAAAAGTTTGAATGTTTTTAGATGAGTTTTGACTCGCATCTCTCTTCCTGTTCACATCAAAGCGCTATGGTTGTTTTTACTTTTGTGCTGTCTTCACACAGCACTTGAAAGTTGGGCATAGATGTTGAGCTAAGAACTGACATAATAGCACTGTGAAGATTCACATAAGCGCTTTATTCTCACCTTCAGCAGCAAGCGAAGAGTTCCAGAGCCAGTGTGCTTCTTCTTCTTCTTCTTCTTCTTCTTCTTCTTCTTCTTCTTCTTCTTCTTCTTCTTCTTCTTCTTCTTCTTCTTCTTCTTCTTCTTCTTCTTCTTCTGCTTCTTCTTCTTCCTTTCTAACCCTCAGTGGAACATAGGCCCTTAACCAACTCACGCCAAGTCGTTTTATCCTTTAGTATCGAATGAGCTTTTCCCATGTCCTCCCCATATTTGTAACTTCATTCTCTAGCTCTCTTCTCTGTTTTTTTTTTTTTTAGTCTTTCTTTATTTCTACGCCCCTCTGGGTTCCAGTGCAAGGACACTCTAGTTATATTGTTCTATTTTTTCTCAACGTGTGTCCTATCCAATGCCAGCATCTTTTCGTCACCTTTTGGTCCACTAGAACTTGCTTCGTTCTCTCCCACAAGCTCTACATTAGTAATTCTATCATACTAGTTAATTCCGTCTTTTCTGCGCAGTGTGCCAGTAGCAGTTAACTATATGTTTGTCTCTCCTGTCCTCTGAGTGAAGAATGTCCCCCAGATCGCCTGGTCACTCCTAGCTGTACGGTTCTCTCCAGTAGTAGCAGCAGTAATAGTAGTAGTGGTGGTGGTCGTAGTGGTGGAAAAGAAGAAGAAGAAAAGACATTTGATATGGTAACCGTCAGGTGTTGCAGTGTAACTGTGTTAAACGGGATTTCTGGGATTTGCTGCCGTTTGAATCTTTTTCGAATAGCACCTCTTTGAGTCATCAGATCGCTTTCTTAGAGATAGAGGGATAACCCAGATATCTGGCTGTATGGACGGAGAGCACTAAGCATGTCACATGAGCACTGTGGTAACCAGTTCTCTTACAGCCTACTTGTCCTGCTGTCGGCTGGGGGGGGGGGGGCAGGAAAATAGTGTCACGACCGGGTTTTCTTGCCATGGGAACGTCTGATCGAATGGCTAGAACCCTTGGTTCTTGTGCAGGAGGCCCCCGGTTCGAATCCACGCTTAGATGAGGGACGTTTATGTGTGTGTTGGGGACAAAAATAAATACCCTGACGCTGCACAATTCATGGCGGCTGCACTAGCCATGTGGCCCTAAATCTCCAGGCTCGGGATCTCTTCCCACCACCACCCGCACCACACACATCATTCAAAAAAAAAAAAAAAAAAAAGACACGTTTTTAAATGAAATGAGATATCTTCGCCTTTTCTCGGCGAATTCAAGATACCCTTTACAAGAAATCAGAAGTTATTTGAATAGTTTTCTTTCTTTCTTTCTTTTTGTCTTTCTTTCTTTCTTTCTTTCTTTCTTTCTTTTTTTGTCTTTCTTTCTTTCTTTCTTTCTTTCTTTCTTTCTTTCTTTCTTTCTTTCTTTCTTTTTTTCGTTTTTTTCTTTCTTTCTTTCTATTTTTCTTTCTCTCTCTCACCCTCCCGTTCTGTCTTTCTCTACTACTCTCTCCTCTCCACACATTCTCTCATTCTAACCTCACTTACCGAGAAGCCCAGTTACTCACAGTGTTGTGTCATTTTCCAGCCTTGACTTAGGCCAGTTCATTCATTCAGACACCCATCGATGCTGCTTTCAGAAACTGCTCTCTGACTCATGGTTGATGTTAGTCACCCCTGCACCAAACAAAGGGGAAAAAAGAGGAGGGGATTCCTAGTTTTTACCATTTGGGTTTGGGGTCCTCATGTTAGAAGGTAGACCCACTGCCCACTACATAAGAAGCGTGTCGTAAAAGGCGGCCAATTTCCTTAAATCTGATGTGTTAGCCAAAGGCTGAGATATATCGTTGTCTAACTGCAGAGCACCAAACATCGTGCCAAAAGCCCCTTACAGTGTGAGCGCAGAAGAAGAACAAGTTATGGTGATAGGCATATGGGTGCCGTGTCTCTCCGTCTTTTGTTATATTAGCTGTTCTCCGTCTGTGTCACTAGAAGACTATTGTCCACGCCTTTGTGCGTTTTGGGCATATAGGGTTGGCCCTACATTTTATAGACCAGTCGGCGCACGGTGGGTGTGGTGCTCTGTATCGCACAGGCTGCATTTACTTCCCAGGACTTTATTTGGGACCCCTTTAAGGCTGAGTCGACCTTGGAGCCGAGGTCATTTGTGAAAATGAGTCCGGCTCCGTTCGGGTTTCAACCCACAACCTTTGGATCCGCGGGTGAGCATATCTCATCTGTCTCATTTATTTAGGTTTTTGATATGGCCCTGGCTGTTTGTGTGTGTGACTTTCTGTGGCGCATTGTGTGTTTGTCTTGCCACGTGACTAAATTTGTGTCACACACACATAATATTTTTGAAATGTAAACGCTGCGCCGTCTCCGCAATGAAGCTTAGCTACAGTCTACCACTGCTGTTTGTGGGAATATGACATTGAGGTGGGGAGAGAAAAGGGGGGGGGGGGGGGGGACTCCGGACTCTCTTACGGTGACAGTTTTGAAGCAGCTGTGCGAAAGCATCTTTACAATGTCTCAGCGCTAACGGCGTTTGCCTGGTTTCCATCTATTATATATATATATATATATATATATATATATATATATATATATATATATTATATATATATATATATATATATATATAAAATCAAGTGTCTAACTTTTTGTTTCGATGGAGGCCATCCCCACCACATTCATATTTGTGACCCCACTTCCCCCACTAGTTGCACGTTACTCTTTGTGCACATATTTTTTCCTCAGTCATCAGGAGAGACCCCAAGTAGAACGACTCTAACACTGCAGTCAGACACTGACCGTCACACTGTCTATAGTCTGTTGTTACTGGTAGAATGTCGGAGTTCTCGAATTTCGTGTGTTCCAGAATCGATTGGCTTCCTTGAAGTTAGCGGAGATTTGGCTTTCTGTCTCTGTTTACCTGACCCAATCCTTTTAAGTGACATTGCCAGTTATTGTGTCTCTTCAGCTTTTGGCAAGTGCAAAATAAATTACAGTGAACTCTGGTCTCTCTCTCCCTCTCTCCCCACCCCTCTCTCCCTCTCTCTCTCTCCCCCCCCAACCCTCAACAGAGATTGAAACACATACACGTGGATAAATTGATGGTGGCTAAGCAGGCACACTGACAGATAGACCGATCCACCACGTAACTATTAACGGACAGACGGTCACATAGATTAGACAGTGATACTGTGCGCAGACGGGCACATAGATTAGACGGTGATATGCTAGGCAGAGAGTCACATAGATTAGACGGTGATACTGTAGGCAAATGGGCACATAGATTAGACGGTGATACTGTAGGCAGAGGGTCACATAGATTAGACGGTGATACTGTAGGCAGATGGGCACATAGATTTGACGGTGATATGCTAGGCAGAGAGTCACATAGATTAGACGGTAATACTGTAGGCAGACGGTCACATAGATTAGACGGTGATACTGTAGGCAGAGGGTCACCTAGATTAGACAGTGCTACTGTAGGCAGAGGGTCACATAGATTTGAAGGTGATACTGTAGGCAGACGGTCACATAGATTAGACGGTGATACTGTAGGCAGACGGTCACATAGATTAGACGGTGATACTGTAGGCAGACGGTCACATAGATTAGACGGTGATACTGTAGGCAGACGGTCACATAGATTAGACAGTGCTACTGTAGGCAGAGGGTCACATAGATTAGACGGTGATACTGTAGGCAGACGGGCACGTTTTACTGATAGGTAAACAGAGAAGTGCAGAAAAGTGTGCATCCATTATATAAATACCCACACTTATATATACTGATCGACTGACTGGTAGATAGACAGACAAAGGTTCTTAATTTATAACGTACTTCAAACAGGAAATCCCCGTGGGAAATCCACAGCTGAGCTGACAGTCCATTATTTAAAGGGGTGCAAGTGTGCTGTTGTGTGGTGCTTTTTTTGAGTGTTCATCTAGTGTCTTCTAATCCTAACCCTAACCCTAAACTTTACTGTACAGAAATCGCGAGAAACTACAACATAAACACCCTAGAATTTATTGGGAATGTCTCACGTGACGTTGTCGTGACGTCAGGGGTACGTTATAAATTAAGTACCCAGACAAATATATAAATAGATGTATAGATAGGATGGATAGATAGGATAGATAGAAAGATAGATAGGATGGGTAGATAGATAGATAGATAGATAGATAGATAGATAGATAGATAGATAGATAGATAGATAGATAGATAGATAGATAGATAGATAGATAGATAGATAGATAGATAGATAGATAGATAGATAGA